AGATACTGCTTTAAAAGGACTATCTAAGTTGTTAATTTTCTCTTCTAACTTTGAAATTTCTTAATTATTTTCGATTAATTTTTATTTGTTAACTTTTGGTGATAATTGTAATCTCAACGCAGAGGACATAGACTAAAATGAAACATTATTCAATAGATCCTATGAAGTATAATTTTGAGTTTCATCTACATTTAGGACTATATTACTTTTTGATTAACAAAAAGGATAATCCAATTATGATTGCTAATTGTTTTCAATTAGTTAAGAATGGACAGGTTCATCATCAAATATTTTTTATGGTGATAATTTTTTATTCGATTATTTTCTTAATTTCAAAGTATTCTTTTGATGCTAGAGACTTTATCCACTCTAACTTTTCATGTTAATTAAACTCTTTATAGTAAGTGAATCGAGTGATTTTTCTTTATTACTGTGTTAAAAGAATTATTTAGTTTTCTTGTATGCAATTCGAAAAAGATCGTTAATAGATATAATAGTTTAGATTATCATTATTAGTATATTTGAAATCGCGAATAATGATATCGCTAGAATTATTATCAATGTGATTAAATATCTTTCTTCATCAGTGTGATTATTTGATTAAAATTAAAATGAAGTCAAAAAGCAAAACAATACAATAATTTCATTGAAAATATTCATCAAGCTTGAAAGTTTATCTTTGAATGGTCTCATAACTACCAAAAATAATAAAATCATTATCGAAGTTAAGACGCTTATTAATAACTATAGACTTCCATTCTTATGGAAAATAACTAGTGTGCCAGCATATATAATTCTTCTGAAAAAGAATAAGGGTATCCAGAGATTTGAAACAGTTTTCTTCTAAGTAACTTTTTGATTCTCAATTAAAGCCCCAAATCTTTGATGAAACTCTGGCTTATTCAAATTATCAAAGTTCATTAGGATCAAATCAAAAAAGTACAAAGGGAATATACAGATTGATATCTATAGTTATAATTAAAATGCCTGATGTCTTACAAAAAATAATACTGATACAAGAGACCCAACGATTTAACTTGCGTTTTCATATTGAAGCTATTATATATGAGAAGAAATAATATCTTTACATTATATAATCCAATAAAATTAAGTATAGCCATTTCCAAATAAAATTCAACAAAAGCCTGAATAGGAACATTGTATCTAAAAGTTCTGTCTATTCTGTTTATAATCAATCGCTTAAAACTAAAGAAAAAATAATCCGAAATAATTACATATCATTTCTCCTGTATATATAAGTCAAAAGCATAAACCAAATCATAATTTGTGACTATATGAACCAAAGGACTAATTTCGATTTATACTGTAAAACAAATACTGTTCCTTAAATTCCAAAATCATAAAATGCCTGATTAAATGCTTGCTCATTATATTGTTTTTCATCAATTAAGTTGTTTATAAAGGATTCAGGGTCTGAAATACCTGGGACAGGTATGTTGAAATTTGATGTTGATAAGAAATCAAGAAAATCTCTAAGATCTTGAGGATAATATACTTGAATCAACGGCATGTAGTATAGGATCTAAAGAGTATTGATCATTTCAAACATCTAACCCATTGTCCCTTACATTAAAATTTAGGCTATCATATTTGAACTAAGTGCTGAAATAAGCACTGTTTTAGCTTATGCTACCATTTCCATCAATAACGCAGATCTTTCTTCATTTCTATATTCATAAGGTTATACCTTAATTGTTGCCTATTAATAAATTGGAATAGGTACGCCTTAATTTTGTGGTCTTAATTTATTTGATAGCAATTTTATGATAAGTACTTCATCTCCTTTAAGTGAATATTGGATTTTTATTTACAGACTATACTTATTTTTTCTGATTGATTCCTAATCAATATTTCCAGTCCAAGTTATATTCTTGAGGGTATTATCAGGCAATTTTATCAAGAGTCCAATATCATTTTTTGTAAGTGGACCTAGCTCAGCTGTCATTTGATAATTAAATGTGAAGATTATTAGTTCGTTGGTATAAGATTAAATTATTAATTTTGGCGGTTCTAATTATTGGCATATTGAATTTTCACAACTGAATCCAGATTCAATCATACAATTTTCATCACATCCATCTCCATTCTAGAAGTTTCCATCATCACATTCATTTTATCCTTTTTATTTTCCATCTCCACATATCTCTGAGCATTAGTTTTCTATCATAGGAGATTTGAATCCAGGGATCTAATCACAATTGGTACATTTTGTTTGATAGATATCATATTCTGATGCACACTTAACACATTGATTAGGTCCTGGTCCTGTACAGCTTTCACAACTTTTGTCGCAATCAATACAGTCCATTATTGTTAAATTGAGATATTAATTAGTTGGACACTCTGGGATGAAACATTTTCCATCGATGTAAATAAATTTCTCTTTGCATGATTAGCATTCTCTGCAAAAAATAATTAATTAATTATAACTTACCCATTTGTTGAGCCAGTACATGTAGAACATTAATAAGAGCAAGGAGTACAAGTTTATTATATTTAATCATAATATGTTCCTTCTCCGCAGGCTAAAATGCAATCAGGAATGGGTGACTTTATAAATAGTCCATTTGAATCCTCAATGCATCTGTAGCAAGCGTTTATATCAATTTCATCACAAACACATAATGGTCTATTGCATGGTAAGCACATATTTTAATCCAAGTCAGCATCATAAACAACATAGGTATTTTTGGGGCAAACGAAAATACATGTGTTTTGATACAAATTTGAATCCAAGCATTTATTACAATTATTTACCCACGGCTCATTGCATTAACTACAGTCTTAAAAGCAATCTAAATAGTAATCGTCACTTTCAGAGTATTAAAATAAGACAGATGGTTTATTCATGCAGTTTACGTAATCTTGGTCTTTACATTCTTGAGAGTTAAAACAATTTGTATTGCATTAATTCCAGCTTTCACAATGTTAATCTACCTATTAACTAAAATGCTCATTGCATTTAATTGGAACAAAGGCTTAAACTTAATTACTAAGAGCAGTCTCATAAATCCACTTAATAATTCCATCTGATAGTTAAATTATTCTTTATGATTTCACATGAGTAGCTGTATTATAAAGATTAGTACCTGCGCTTTCATCTAGTTTAAAATATCCAATCAATATTGATAAATCTTTGTTCTTTGGACTGTAAAAGTATTAAAATTGTTAATAATATTTACTAAAATCCAAAATTTTTAATCCAAAATGAAGAAATGTAGGTGCTATAAAGCTAGATTTCCCTTAAATACACAACTGTTCCAGTTGATGATTTAAAAGCAAAGTTAATAAGACTTGTATCCAAAGCCGTGTTAATAATAACATTTTTCTTCCCTCTTTCATCAAAATTAATCTTTCCTGCTTGTTAATATTGTACAATCCTATTAGGGTATTTAAACTAAATATTAAATATTACAAGAAAGCTTGCTTAATTTCGTCGCATAATTTAAATGTTACTTGCATCCAATTATTTAGGTATTTATCTCCAATTCCTCCTGCGATTTTCATAAAGGGAGCATTATTTAAACTCTATTACAGAAGAAGTGAGTCTCTAGCTAAGTCCAGATCCATATAAATTCTATTTTGAATTTACATTTAGAATTGTTCTATTTATTAGAAATAGACCCAAAAAGAAACTGAAAAGCATTTTGTATATGATGCGTCAATATCGAATATAATTTTATCTGTCAATTATAGGATTTTCTTAGAAACTATAGAATTAAATGTTATTTTTAATGTCTTACCTTAGCAGTAGCCTCTATTAGAGTACTGAAAGTCTCCATCACACATTATTGGAAGACTAGGATAGGAAATGTATTCATGCTATTAAGTGTCTATAATAATCTTGAATTCCCCAGAGACTTGCTCTCTGATAAAATTTCCTATCGGTTCAGTAAAAGGATATGAAGCCGCAAGATTGTAATAATTCATGTTGTTAATTATTCCAGTTTTATGATGTAAAATCTAGAAAGACTACCCGAATGATAAGAATCTCTTGAAAACTTTGATATGTCTCAAATAGCCAGTAAATGTATTTGCTGCATTTTCTGATCCTACATAAAATGAGACAAGGCCTTAAATAACTGATGGATATCCTTAGTTTTGTATTTATCCCTATGATAAGGTTGCATTATCTAATAAGATATACTGCTCATTATTGATGACAGAGTTCGCAAAAGCAATATAAATCCATTAATTTATGATGCTTATGGGAGGTTAGTATTCTATTTTAGAACCTAAATTAGGCTTATGTATTAATTTATTGTTTCAATTTACTATTAGCTCTGTTAGCTATGTTATGCCTATTATCTAAGTATCAACTTTCTCAAATTTTGTGAGGTATAGACATAGTTGAATTGTATATTCTTAGCTCATGTCATCTATATTTTACAGCAATATTCCTTAGGTTATCTTATTTTAAAAGAATATACCTCTATCCATGTATTAATAATTGATGAAATCGGTAGTCCACGTCTCTTCATTCATTATAACTCGCTCCCACTAGGGAACCCAGATAATCTTCCCATCACTACCTTGGTAAATATATCTAGAATCAATTGTATTTCCATATAGAGAACTATCATAGAAAGTTCTACCTACATCTTCATCTAGTCTATAGTAAAAAAGCAAAGAGTATCTATAGTATAGAGTTGAAATACTACTTTATAAGAATTCTAATATTTAACCAGGCAACAGCTCTTTAGCAATGCCAAATACATTCTTCAACTTCATTGTGATACCTGCAGATTAAAAATCTCCCATTGCTATTTACGATAATAACCCACTTTGAGACTCCATAGAATCCTCTGCTTACCCGATATTTATGTTAGAATTGTAAATTTGCCAAAATCCTTTATTTTGCTTTACAGCAGTTATGCCATACCATTATCCTTCTTGAATTATTAATCTATCAAAGCAAGTATATACTTTAGATTTTTATAACCCTTTAATGGTAAGTACACAAAATTTCATTTTATCAATCTGATATTAAGGACCAAATGCAATAATTCCCAGCAATTAATAGAAATAGTTGTAGAAAGATGAATCCACCTATCTAAGCTTGATTGGTTTGTACCATAAGCCAGTACTGAACTACCATTTAAAATTAATCTTGTTGGCGAATGAGTACTGTATTCTAGTATTGTAGAGGAATAATTCAGCTTTAGGTAAGCAACCTTGCATAAAACTTGACTCCATATTCATTCCACCAATACATCCACTTTACCATAGAGCCAAGTATGAATAAGATAAAGAAGGCAGACTTATCTAACCTTTGATATAATCAAACAAATAAACTTAGCTCATATAGCTACTTGCAAAGAAGTGTGTATTAAAGATTTCTTTATGAGAATACTTGAAAGAATACCTATATCAAAATATAAATAAAAATAAATAATAAATCTTACAATCTTTAATATGACTGCTCATAGTAATTTGAATAACTTGAATTAAGTGTTGGGTAAAATACTCTAACGCCTGATACCTAGATTCTCTATTCAGATTAAAGTGAAACATAATATCCAAATGAAATTGTCTTAATAGCAGTAATCTCATCTGCCGATTAAATCTAGATTTTCATAATGCTAGCACCTTCTTAAAAGATATGAATCTGATTTTAAGAAAGTAAGAAGTTAATCACGTAGTTTATAGTACCCGCTCCATGAAAATACTCGGCAGTTTGAGTGTCCCCTGTTAATTAGGAAGTGTATATTATCAGAAATCTATAGAAATCTAAAGTTTAGAAGACTATATTGTCCCCAATTTGAACCATATCAAATATATATTTATATTCTGGCAACCATGTAAGGTCTTTTGTGAAGTAGCTATTTAGCATGAAAATGAGAGTGAAATCTAGTTCTTAGTCTTGCTATAGTTTTTCTATTGTAGATTCGAAATTAATTGTAAGTTTATCACTGCCTTCGTATACAATAGTTTTGCCTCTCATATATTCACAAACGCCACTTGGACTTCCACCCATCATTTATCTCATTCCTAGTGGGCAATTATTTCTAGTTTGATTATCATACTTTATCTTGTAATCTTTGAAGTCAGATTTAAAATTTGACTTGCCAGTAATTTCATCATTAAAATCGAGATTATTCATTTTTATTAATACTACCAAAGAAGGAAATCTTAGTGGCAATGTAGTTCTATCATATTCTTATAAATCAACTATGGACATGGCTTTGTTCCAAATTCTAAACTCTTTCATTCTGAGTCTCAAATTCAAATGATCAGTTGAGGCATCACTAGCATAAGCTATTTTGTATTTACATGGAGCTAGTTTCTCAACTCCATTTTGAGTTATGTCATAATTAGGATTAAAGTCAAGATGATGGAACAATTACGTTGGCATTTTTTGATTTCTTAAAGTATAATAATACCACTTTTATTCTATCAATGCAGTTGCAGGTTATAATTCTATTTGGTTATTATCTTTACTCTTAATTTTGGTATTCAAATATCTGTCAGTTGTTTCTTATAGAGCTACAGATATTGAAGCGCCATTTACATTGCAAGTAGAATCTGGAGTAATCATTGGAAATCAAATCAAAGACTCTAAAATATCTTGATACACAGTAAACTTGAAGAGAAATTCGATTGTCCATTCTGGAGAGAATTCTCTATCTGTTTCTAAGTCTAATTCAACAGGATTTTTAGTGACTTGAAATTCAATAGTCTCCCAAGCATCATTCATTAACTCACATTCCTCTGTATCCTCATCATAAATCTAATTGAATTAACACTAGCTAGTTGGAACTAAGTGACCTGTAAAGTAATCAGCATCTTCCCATCTTACAATCTTATAATACTTTACATGATCAAAGCTTTATAAATTAACTTAGTATTAAAAGGCCTTTTCTTTTAATACATAGCCAGAATTCTCATCAAATGCAAAATAAGTGAGAAGCTTAGACTTTATACCTAGAGTTCTGTTACTGTATTTTAACAGAATAGGTGTATAATTATGAAAGCCTGACCAAATTTTTAAATCAAATATGGAAAATCTGTTACAATATTCTGGACAGATAGTAATATTTGATCTTATTGGAGGTTTAAGCAAGAATTCTTGAATTGATACATTTACAAGTAAGATTTCTGCGTCCTAATAAATCTAAAGATTTCCTTAAAAGTCAAATTAATAGTTGAAATGATGTAGAGTTGCCAGAGAAATTGATGTATCTCTATTAAATGTCGCGACTTATACACTGTTAATATAGATGATAGTTTGTGGGTTTAAGTCATCAATCTCTTTTATAAGAATGCTTTGGTCTTAATCAAAATAAATCTAGAATATGTTTTCACTCCTTAATTGATAATGCTGAGAAAGCCAAAACTCAATTTGTAATTATTTTGATTATTAAATATCATCATAGACTGGCATATCAAGATTATGGTAACCATCAGTACTTGAAAATATTAAGAATTATCTTGGAACACATTCATATTGCTCATAAAAATACCCTTTTTTGCACTCAGGTATCCTAGCCTGTCCTCCTGAATGAACGTATTCCTAAATATGAACTTACTTGCCAAAGGTCCAATAATCATTGAAATTTGATTAATCTATTGAAAATTCTCCAGACCAATAAGGCTAATAGAATAGGATTATCTTATCATATAATTTTTAGGGATCTGCGTATCTCAAGTAATTTCTCTTTACAGAAGCTGGATCTATATATCTATTCCATATATAGATATGACTCAATAAAACATTCGGGCTAAATCTTAGGTAATATGTACCAGTTGATATTTAAGGTAAATTTATTCCTTAGATAGCCACGTTATGATTGCATAAAAGTCTTCTAACTCCACCATTCGTCCTTTTAATAAGTGCCAGATATTACCAAGTGTATAATTTGAAGAATCTCAAACTAGATTTTTTCAGTTAGTTTCCTGTTGCGTCATTTATAGCAAGATGGTATTTATTTATATTTTGTATAGACAATAAGTTTTCTATTGAAAACAAATTTGTAGAATCCAAGCCAGTATATACCCAGAAATGAATTGTATACTTATCTAGATTTTGAGCAATTTTAAAGGAAACTTGTTTAGTATCTTGCAATTATACTGAAGCATCATAAGACTTATATCGAACTAATAATAGTAATTTTAGTTTGATTTATGAAAATTACTATATGTATCATGAGTGTAATCAGGATTTAGTCCATAGAAATTAGTCATATAATCAAGATCATTTGCAAATATATATGTTCTAAGATATGCTGATGTTGATTAAAAATCATATCTTAAGTCATAAAAGAAGCCAGTCCATTTATTTGGGCCTAAAGTCATAGGAAAGTATAAAATCTGGTTTGGTATGTACATTCTTCTTCTATATTATAGCAATATTAATACCTTCAATTATCAGCAATGATTTGGAACTTACTTAAATCTAAATGCATTAAGCATTTCTGTATCTAATGCAGTACTACTAAAGAATATTCTAACTTGTTGAATAAATCCTTCCCATTATGATTCATCAGCTTCCTAATTTAATGCACTACAGCCAATAAGTATTTTATCATCTATAATCATAGAATCGTAAGTAAAGCCTGCTCTATCCTTAAGAATTGAATTAGTATAAAGTGATAATTAGCTTTACACATTTGCTTAATCTCTCCCAATTTATAAAAACATATAGCAATAGTAGTTAAAGCATCTATCCACAGGCGATTAAGTCATCCTAAAAAAATTAAAATAAATAAGGGGAAAAAAATAGTAATTTACTTTGTCTAGACTTCTATATTAAAAGGATCTATATTGACCTAAGCTTTTACTATCGCTGATTGTATATAACTATCTTATTATTGAGATTATCCATTCTGACCTATTATCTTTGTATTAATTCCTCTCATTGAGATATGAGTATTTTCAGATTAGCCTAGTTGAATGTAAGTCATATTGAGAGGGAATGCTTATTTGTAATTTAATACTTTGATCCATAAGCCAATGCCCAGATAATAAGTAACTTATTATAATTTGTTTAGATGCATTGGTTATTCATTTTGTATCTGTAATAGTTTTGACCACACGCAAATGCATGAGGAATATACTGATCAGTATTGTTGCAAGTCAAAGGACTCATAGGATCATATATCCATTCAAAGTACCTTTTATTTTAAGTGGCATCTGAAAGATATTTGATTTAATCCTTCACCTAGTATATGTCCTCTTATATCTAGCCAAAAATATTATCTGAATCAAGTCTATTGTAGAGTAAAGCGTTATTCACATACTTCCAAGATGAGCTATATAAATTACTAGAAATAAATTTACAAAGCAGCAACTGAGAGCTAATTATAAGAAAAAGCATCTAAGACAAAAGCAAAATCTTTTAGGCTTATTGAATCTTCATTTGAAGCTATTAATTCTATTTTTGTGGTTGGTACTGAATCTTAGCACCTTTAGTGGGTTTGATAAGTATTTTTCTTCTATATAAGATCACCCATTGCATTTATTAAAAATGTTTGTGGTTATTATTCTATGGAAGATAGAGTGAGATGCATCCAACCTTATTCATTATTTGAGAAGTATTGAAAAGTTGATAATGGGGCTGGTTTTAATTATTCATTGTAGCAAAGATTAAATTCTAAGATCCATTTCAATTGTGTAAATCCTTCATGCATTCTGGTCATCTTAATATTCAAAAGTGTATCTAATGCACCAGATGAGATAATACTGCCAGTTGCATCAGCCTTTTACTTGAACTAATAGCAGGTTATAAATAATAACATCAAATTACCCAAAACATAACTGTAAACACATTTTCAACATAAACAACTTAACCAAGATTTAAAGATTGAGTAGTTAATGCTAAAAACAAATAATCTCTTATAAAAAACTTACTCATTTTTGGTGTTAAGGTTAAGTGATCAACTATAA